AGTAAACTGCCCGAAAAAAGCTCGCCGGAGGTCCGGCCACGCGCCGCCGCCGGAGCCACGCGTCGTCGCCGGTCACGCGCCCCACCACAGCGTGCGCCTCCTCCTGCTGGTCATGGTTCCATGGTCCATTTCGCCGAAAAGTCAATAGGTTGGCCGGAAATCAAGTTTTTTCAGATTCGGTTAAAAATGGTAATGGCGATTCCTTGCTGATTTTTGATCGATTTTGGACTAATATCACTCCTCCTAGCTCTGATACCAGTTTGTTGGGGATTCTAGGAGTTCAATCAACCAAAACAACAATCAACAAACAAGATTCAAGTCAAAAAACAAGAAAAACGGGAATGGAAAAATACAACCCCTTTATTCTGCCGATTTCTGTCCAGCTTCTTCTTCTTCGTTTCAGCGGCTTCTTCTTGGATTTATGGGTGTTTTTCCAGGCTCAGGAACAGCCCCATGCTATGCCAATTGCCTTCCAAAGAGAGAGGGGAAAAAACCAATGAAGAACCTATGAAAAACCGAGAGCTCCTCTTTTCTGCTGGGATGAAAGAGACCGAGAGCTGCCCTTTTATTTGAAATGGTAGAGAGTCCATATGAAGGAGAAGGAAGGAAGACCATGCCTCTGCCAAAACGTGGGAAGACCTTATTGTGTCAACCTCACTCCCATCAACTCACAACATTAGGTGGTGGGGTTAGGTGAACCATATCCTCACAAATTAAAATTTGAATTTTAATCCGTACCAAATAGGGGGCTTAGTGTTGCTTTCTTAAGATGAATTGGGAGCTTAACCCAATCAATTTGGAGGAAAGGGAAGAGGAGAACTATCAACAAGTTATTCTAATGCTGACTGAATATATAATTTTAAAATGGCAAGATCAAACTTTGTAGTGTTAACTGTTTTATTGAATAATTTTTCACGAGTATCGTTTTCAAAATAATATTGACATTGTTATGTAGTGTAAATGTGTAATTGCTATTCAATTTTGAAGGTCAGCTGGTCGAGTGTATTATTAAGTGTATTCACTAAAATGTTGAAATGTTGTTTGGAATGCAAAGATATGAAATTTTGATATGTTAGGAGATTGGACAATGTAACCTCCACTTGTATATTTTAGTTGATAGGTGATTGTAGAAATATACGTTGCTTAATTCGATTGTGCAAGTACAATTCCAAAAATTTTAAATCAATAGAGATCTAAGCACTTGAAGAGCAAGTTTAGACAAACATTATTAATGTGCGCAAGCATGAAGATTTTGAAGGATTACGAGGCTTTAGTGATCTTGCAGCAAAGTGATTGTAACGAAAAAATGAGGTGTACCCATTAGTTTAAATGCTTGTAAGGTTGGTGTTAATTCATTCAGTTGCTACTGTAGATAAAGTATTTTCTACGATAAAGATTATCAAGAATTGCTGCATAATCGGATGGAAAATTGATGTTTAAGCATTAATTTGGTTGTATATATTGAAAACGATGTATTCTATAATATTGATAATAATGTAATTATACGACGCTTTCAAAAAATTAAAACGCGTAGACTACAGTTATAGTAGTATATTGACTTGTGTTATTTTTAAAAAACTTGCATTTTAGTTTTTGACCCCACAATATAAAAAGTTTGGCTCCACCCTTGGGGCCAACTATAATTTTGGCCAATGTTGTAAGTCCCACCTTTCCTTGTTGAAGACTATGAAGGCCGCCTTGTTTCCAGCCTGCTTTACTCAAGTATGCAATTTGTGAGTTTGGAATTAAAGGGGAGATGATAATGAGAAGAATAACGAGTTTTACAAAATTTAGTATAAGTTAAAATTAAAGTTTGGCTTCACATTTTAAATAATTTATAATAATTATTATTTTTTTTTTTCCAAACAAGAGTATACTTCTGCTCCGATTCAAGTGTGCAGGTGCACTGCGTTAATTAATGACAAATTAAGCATCCTCTCTTAAATTTGAAATCAATAATAAGTGCTAGGATGGAGGTACAATATGATATGACTTAAATAAATTTTATACCTAGTATTATAAAGGACACGACTTTTTATAGAATTGCCAAAAACATGCCAAAGGAAAGATATCGATACCAAAGATAAGAAATACTAAGTGATTATTTTTTCCACGATACTAATTGATTTAGTGAGTGAAATTCTATATAATTGAAACTGGTGATGTCAGAAAGGGCACGATGCAATCACAAACCTCAAGTTCTACTCGATCAAGTAGTCTCATCCTAATTAATTGAAATCACTTTATTTGTGAAGAATCTTACCCAAATTGAACTATATCAAGTCCTATGAAAATTACAATTTTACTCTCCCATTTTAATTCAATGCTCTAAGCAAACTATGGCTCTTTTCCATATGAGAATATCACACTTATCCCTTCAGTCAAGGTATATTCTTCCCATATGTTTTCTGGCTTAAGCATTGGGGAGGCAACAAGGTCACCAGTTCATGCCTTTTTTTATAGCCTTACAAGGAGCTTTAGAAACTCTGGATAGTTGTTTAAACAACAAGTTAAATTTCCGTACCATTAGTGCTAATATTGGCATGTTGGAAGCGATGAAAGATATAACTGTTCAATCTCTCTACTATAGACATTTTTCTCTTTTAAAAATAAAAAATAATTAAGAAATACTCATAGTAACCATTCAAGCCAACGAAATTAGTAATATTATCCCATTGATTCGTACTAAATAACGAGCTCTACCTGTGCATTATACGAATATGGAACATATCACAAGAATATATGACTCATATAATTAACAAGTTGAATATATCATTTGATTTATGATACATACATTCCAAGCATCTTGATCCACAAAATATTTAGATCTCCTTTTTTTTGGGTCTTTTTTGGCTCAATTCGTTCATCTCTTAATTAAAATCATGACTGGCTAACAATAACACAGTGCGGGGAAAAATATTTGGTTTTATTGCTTATATATAGTTATATTATAAAAACTTCTGTTGTCTACGTCAAAAATGGTGGAAATGAAAGTGAAAACGAGACCAAAAAGTAAATGCAGAAAATTGTTCAAAGCACAAATATATGTTATGTATAAACACTTTAGTCAGCTGGTGCCTTGAGTAAGCATCTCCTTGTACTGTAGATAAGATATTTGTCTTTGCAACTTCATTTGTTCGTAGAATTTGGCTATAAATTCCTCCGCCTTCAAATCAATTTCCTCATCATCCCCGCCATTCGAAAATCTCTCTTTCACTCCGTTATCATAGTCCATTTCGAATTCCTCACGATCATTGAAATCAAAATCGTGTTCAAAATCCAATACCTGTGGATTATTAATGCAGGGAATATGAGGCATCTTAAACTGCAATGAAGAAGGGCGATGCATTTTCACGTGGATAAGCGGAGTGGCGTTGAAGGAGAGCTCACGCTCGCCGTAAATGAGCGAACCTCCACTGCGACCGGCTTGCCGGAGACTTTTGATGTAGTTTGGTAGTGTATTTAAACTTATTGCTAATCTCTTCCTGAACACACCTCCTTCTCTCGCCCACAGCAAGGCTAGACGAATGATTTTCCACGCTCTACGAGTAAATTCTGAGTTGTTCTTCTGCATTTTGAAATCTTTTCTTATTTGCTGAGATTACTTAAAAGAATATCAGGAATATTGATGGAGAATTAACAAAATATGCTTGCTTAGTGAGAGATTTTGCAGTTGTGATAGTTGTTAGCGGAGAATATGAACTCATATATATACGTGAGATTGCATGTAGATGCGGATCCTTTACGTTACGCGGCGTGGGGTAGGGAAGAAGAATATGGGCTAGGGCGATGTGTGGGACCTAGGACCAACGGGCTGCACGCGGTAGAAGAAATGGAGGCTGTTATGCTGTTTACCAAAATACCCCCTGCTCAAAAAATTTAAGTCCATGTTTCGTTTAATTAAAAAGTTAATAAAAAAATTGCGTCATAATCAATAATTAATTTTAACTCCATTTTTGTGAGATCAAAAATTTTTATCAACTTTTCAGCCACATATTTTATTAACTTCATATAGTCGATTCAATTTTTTATCATTTTAATTTTGAGTAATGCTATTTAGTCTAACTGAGGTTACAACCTCAGTATAGATGACATTAATATTAAATGTTATGTGAATTTAAATAAGTTATGTAATTTCATCTTTTATTTAACCTATTATTTAACGCCACCTAAGTAACCCCCAATGAAACTACATAGCATTATTCTTCAATTTTAGGATAATTAACGTGATCCAGTGAAGTGCCATCTCACATGGAAAATTCCCTAAATACAGGGGTTATTTCACGGAATCCTTACTCTTGATTTGCAGACAATTTATTGTTTTTTTGTCATCTGTTAATGAATCTATGCTATGTGAAGTTCTGTAAAAGTTCTGTAAAAAATTTTCTGTATTTGTACCATTACCCATCTCACATTGCCTCCTGTTATGGATGAAAATACAGTGACTGGCAATGAAGTCTTGAAAGGCCTCAGTTGTTGGGCTGTGATCATCCAGCTCCTCACAAATTAAAAGATCAAAAACAATTTTTAAAAACGTTTTAACAATAAAATATCATGAGTTTTTGTTTGAAACATCCAAAATTCGTGTCTATGTCAATGAAAATAAAAATTGAAATTAGGGGGAAAAAAATTGTTTTGACGACACCAACATATTTAGGAATGGGTTTAGAATTTTATTTTTGTCGTCGAAGTAAGCACAACGAGTATTATGATTTGGGTATAAAAGTGGGATAGTCGAAAGTAATATTTATTGTAATATCAAGCCCTTGTTTGGTGGAAATTAAAATTTTAATTTTAGCAATTTTGATATAAAAAAAACTAATGAAATTAGGGTTTGAAAAATAGTGGATGTCATAAAATATATAATTAAAATTAATCTATAATTTTAATTTTGATAAAAAGATTTAATTTTAATTTCTATCAAATTGACACAAGTAGAAAAGAGTTGGGGTCTTGAGAGCACGGAGTACAGCCCCTCTCACAAGAGGGGGGGCTCGCGATTTTTTTTACTGGATGCTAACCTCCCTCTTTTGTGAGGGGCTTAAGCTCGGTGTACAGCCATCAGATTCCAAAAAGTTGACATAAAAGACATGAATACTTATCTACACAAATAGACGTCTCCATTTTTCTTTTCTTTTTAAATATATTCAATAACGTTTTTAGCGTTGCGGTAAAGTCATTGTTTGGCCCCCATTTTTTGAAAATGAAACTAGGTGGAATATTGTTTTTTTGATAAAAGAGTGATTGAAAAAGAAAGAAAAAATTTCGATTTACGTTTATATTATTTTATGGAAGATTGTGTGATTGAAAATAAAAGAGAAAAAAATTGAATATAATGAAATGAAAATTAATGAGACCAAATGGGGACAAAATTTGCAGAGGGTATTTTGGGCAAATACTACAGTACAGCAATGATTAGGAAAAGGAACACACTTTTTGCACAGCTACACACGGTTTTGTTCAAATTTGGATCTTTGTTAATTCTTCCCTGCGTCTTAAGCCTGAAGTAAAGAGTTGGCCTGAGTAAACATTAGATTTTTCTATTTTTATTTCTTCATAATGTCTGTTTTTAAAATTCAAAGAAAAAAATTATTTTAAGAGTAGAAACACAGTGCTTTCAAGGAAACCGCGTTTCGAGGAGTATATACTCATGTGTTTTACATCATACTAAGCCTCTATTTGATAACAATTAAGATTCAGATTTTAATTTAAATTAAAGTCAACAATTAATTTTAATAACATATTTCATGAATTTCACAACCTTTTAGCCATACATTTAATGAACTTTTATCAAAATCTACTAAAAATCTGATTTTAATTCTTATCAAACAGGGGCTAAGTTAATTATGGTATCAAACGACGTAAATGTTTATTCTAACTAATCTAGTAGAATAAAGAGCCTTTGTTGATGTGATCCTTTAAAAAACGATTTTTTTGAAAGGTGAATATTTTAAAGAATATGTGGATAAAAGTTGGAAAGATTTATTAAAAACATGAAAAATAATTCTTTTTTTGAAATTGTGCAATTAGGGGCAAATTCAAGATTATGGTTTAACGAGAACAAGATATGATTAAGCAAAAAATAATTTCATAAATTATGAGCTAAAATTATATGGACTTTTTTTCAATGTCAAAAATTAAAAGTCTAGTAGGAGCAATTGTACCCACGGACCCCCATTTCTTAATGGGTCCGTCTTATGTATAGTTAAAATGAGGTTGGAGAAAATTTTCAAAATTCACTTCTATATAAGCTCTTAATTATTTGAAATTGATTATTCAATATCACTTTCCACCGACTTTTCAAGTCACACAATTCCGAAAAAATAAAAATAAAAAAATTGTTTTTGACATTTTCTCATAATTTTTTTTTTATTTTTTTAATCACATATTATGCATTCGTAAAATCACTTATCGAAAAATCAAATTCACATGTTAAGTAGTTTTACCTAATTAAACAAAGACCAAATGAAAGGCTTCTACTTGCGGGGGCAGAAAATCTGATGAACCAAACCGGGAAGTTTACATGAAAATTGCAACCTCAGTTTAAACTTTCAAGTATTGGTAAAAGAGTTAAGCGGATTTATTTAAGGATTTTGTTGAATGTACAGCATTTGCTGTGCAGCAACGTTTACAACCCTCACTCAAGAGTGGGATCCGTGATTATTTTAATCGTGGACCCCATCCAATACATGTGAGTGTGTGTGAACAATGTTGTACATATTTATTGTACACATAACATGTTCCTTTATTTAAATACTCCCATTAGTATTGCATCTTGATGTTTCACCTTCTTCTAAAAATTGTTGAGTCGCCTACTTCTGAATGTTATTCGGTAGAGAAAAATCTATTCACAAAAAAATATTCTCTCATTGACTATGAAATTTTTTTAAGTTTCTACGAGTGATTGAATGCAATATTTAGCTTTTATTTGATTCTCTTTGTTTTTTATATTTATTTTCAATCACATATTCACCTAATAAAAAATTTTACACAACAACTTAAAACTTTTTTCTACTTTTTAGTAACATATTATCCATAAAATATTATTCAAAACATCGTTTTCCCTCAATTTTTCTATATAATAACCATCAAATATGGGATTATATAATTAGCAGCGCTTTGAAACTACCCAAACTCGACTGATTCGATTGGCAAGAATCTCTTAAACCAAACTTTCATTCACACATATCAAGAACACATTAGGTTATAATCTCAAAAAGCTTGGTAAAACAGGAGTTACAAGTCAAAGTCAAACTATAATTTTTTAGTTATATTTATCATCCACTAATTTATCCTTTTTTTTTTTCTATCTTTTTATAATTTCAACGGATCAAGCAAACAACAAGGTTTTCACTCACAAAAGAATGGCACATAATTACCACCTAACATTGAATTCTGAAAATAATTGAAATCAAACAAGGGTTAAGACTTAGAGTTCCATCTTAAAAAGTGAACTTTATTAAGAAAAGTATTACAAACATTTATAAATAGGTCTATATTTTCATCGTATTCAACGTGAGATTTTATCCATTATCAAATTTAACATTTTGACAATCCAATCATTTAGTATAGCCCCAATAGCAAAGAGGAGTATCCAAGTCGGCTAGTTTATCCTAAATCACCATCAACCTAAATAGGCACATCTAGTTTATTTTTCTTTTTTCTTTTTTTTTGTATTTAAATTGTAGGGTATATTGGTCATTTTGTGTTAAAAATTGGTGAAAAGAACTTTTTCGCAATGAAACGTAGAAATAGGAGTGAAAATGCAAAAATCTGAAACAGTATGGACGTTTTGCACGCTATACGCCAAACGTAGGGACATTTTGTGCTATTAAGGCTTCAAATGATTTGGTTATCCTTTCCTTGACTGAGTCCTACCTCATGTAATTTTTTATTTCTCCAATAACCACTCTTTTCCACATTTCCAACTGACGACGAAATCAATTACACAAATGATTCTACTGACGTACAAATTATTCCTGTCCAAGATTAAAATCGTACTCAAACCACACCACCTATTCCTAGAAAGACTACTAGAACATGTAAGCCCCCATCTTACCTTAGTGACTATCATTGTAATCTCCTTACCAACATTACCCCTCAAAATTGTCAGTTACAGTTCCCTTTATGTAATTACATCTCATATTCAATTTTTTCACCTTTACATAGCACCCTTCTTCTTAATATTTCTTCCAACTTTGAGCCTCAATTCTACCACCAAGCTTTGAAGTTTGATCGCTGGAGGGATGCTATGGCCCCTGAATTAGCAGCTATGGAAATGAATTGAACCTAGACTGTTACTTCATTGACTAAAGGGAAGCATTCTATAGGTTGCAAGTAGGTATACAAAATCAAATACAAGTCTGATGGCAACAAGGGTTGTTACAAAGCTCGCTTGGTGGCTAAAGGCTGCACTTAGCAAGAAGGGTAGGACTTCATTGAGACATTTTCTCCCGTTGCTAAACTGGTCACTGGGAAAGTTATACTTGCCATTGTAACTATATGGAAATGGCATCTTATTCATTTGGATGTGAATAATGCTTTTCTTCATGGGGACCTCTTTGAAGAAATCTATATGGACCTACCTTCAATTTATTCTAAGCAACCTCCAGTCGGAATTCAGGGGAAGAAACTCATTTGTAGGCTTCATAAATCTATCTATGGTCTCAAATGGGCATCTAGGCGATGGTTCTCAAAATTTTCTCAAGCTCTTATCCTCCATGGTTTTCATCAGTCCAGGTTAGATTACTCGTTATTTACAAAGGAATATGGTGCCTCTTTCATTGCATTGCTGGACTATTTTGATGACATTGTCATCACTGGACCAGACTTTAAAGAGATTGAAATTTTGAAAACATTTCTACATAACTAGTTTAAACTGAAAGATCTTGGAAACCTTAAATGCTTTCTTGGCTTGGAAATAGCCAGGTCCCATAAAGGCATCTTTCTTTCTCAAAGACATTACAATCTCCGGCTCCTTGAAGACACTAGCATCCTTGCTTGTAAACCAGCTCAATTGCCTATGGACCCCAAAGTTCGTCTCAGTTCCTTTAAGGGAGGCCTTCTTGAAGATGCATCTCTATATCAAAGACTTGTAGGACCGTTGCTTTACTTAACAATCTCTCGTCCTGACATTACCTTGCAATCCATGAACTCATCCAATTTGTTGCTCAGCCTCATCTTGATGCAGTCCATCATCTTCTAAGGTATCTTAAAGCAACACCAGGCCAAGAAATACTGTTCATTACTTCCTCATCCTTCCAACTTTGAGCATTTGTCGATGTTCATTGGGGATCATGTCTCGACTCAAGGAAGTCCATCACAGGGTTTTGTGTCTTTCTTGGTGATTCACTTATATCTTGAAGGCTAAACAGCAGAGTAAATTATTCAGATCTTCTGCAGAAGCAGAGTACCGTGCATTAGCTTCCACAACCAGTGAACTTGTTTGGATTCACCAATTACTTCATGATTTTTAGATTTCACTTCATACATCAGCATTGATCTTTTTGTGATAACCAAGCTGCAATCTATATTGCCAATAATCCTATTTTCATAAGAAACACATTGAGATCGCTTGATAAGATCAAGGATGGATTTATCAAAATCCTATCTATATGTATTCAGCTCCAGTTAGCTAACATATTCACTAAGCCAGTTCCAGCTTCTGTTTTTTTTCTTCTATTGTTCAAGATGACTATTATTGACTTGCATAGTCCATCTTGAGGGGTATTAACGCCAAAATTGAATCACTGTTAATCAGCTCATGGTTAGCTGTACAGCTGGCAGTTAGGCAGTAAGTAGTAATTAGAAGTAGTTAGTTAGCTCAACTTTTCCCTATTTATATAATTCGTTGTAATACATACATAGACACTAGAATTGAATGTGAAATCAGTTTTTCATTTCCTCAACAACTGCTCTATTAAATTTTATAGCTATTATAGGTCCCTGTAACATATTTTGTCCAAATATGTCAAATGAAATCTCTCGCCACAAGCAAGGAATACTAAGCCCTTGTTTGATTAAAAAATATATATATAAACTTTAATTTTAATTTAAGTTAAAATCAACAATTAATTTTAATTAGATCCATCATCCATAACTTTTCAACAGCTCGTCTTGTTAATTTCTATCAAAATCTACTGTAAATCTGATGTTAATCTCCAGGGTAACTAGAACTCAACGAACTATAGAAATAATATACAATTCAATCGATCGGGCATTAATGAATTAAACGAGAGAGAACTTTAAAAATAGACAGTCACACATTAACGATTCGTTTTTTAAACGCTTTCTCAACGATGAACAAATCCTAAAATATGTCCAAAAATAAACACAATCTAAATTCAATAAAACCAGTCAAGATCCTGTCTGAAATTCATAAATCTGACACAGAAAAGGAGAAAAAAAGCTGAAATAAAGAAACAGTATCAACCTAATAGCCATGGATGAGTTCAGAGCACTTGTTCTTGATCCAACGGAATCCATTTCTGATTGATACTTTGACTCTACCTTCAACAGTGTACACTTTGTACTTTGCAATTCTCTTCCGTCTCTTCATTTCAGGATCATTGAATCCCCATGGCTTCGCCGCCACCTGGCTCGGCCTAGTGACAGCTGGAACCGGTGGCAAATCAGGCGAATGAGGCTGACTCGATGTCGTGTACATCCGATTTCCAGAACCACTCACCGTCTTTGGCCTCCAGTCACCACCGCCACCATAACTCGGCCGCCCCATGTCTTCCATTGTTACCCCCAAACCACTCGAGAGAGAGAGATTTTGGGTGTCAAAATATACTTTTCAAGGGCAGTTTTCGGAAGACATTTATAATTGAACTGTCCTTTTCATTGATTACTGCGCGAGGAGGAGGGGGTTGGCGTTGTGAAAAATATTCCTTTTAATGGGAATTGTGAGACAAAAATAATGTCAGAAGGGCCAGAATTTGAGCTGTAAGGCTGTGTTGGTGGGTTTGTGTACTCGATGCTTCCTTCTTTTTACTTTTTAAATCTAATTTTTCGAATTTAAAAGTTTTTTTATAATTAATGTCGTGCCAACCTCAACTTTCTCGATCGATCTGCCACTCATGTACATGTGTCAAAGTCAGATCCTCTCGTCAACTTCAAATTTTTCATTTTTTTGGAGTTACACAAAAGTCGAGTATTTATAACGAAAGCTAAAAGGAATTATGACCCTTCTGGTTAAAAGTAATGCTCCACAAATTGCAATTTCAATTTAGGTAACTCTAACAATATTAATTATTAGGTGAAATTAAATGAGTCATTTAATTTTATTTTTTATTTAACCTCTCAACTAGTACAACCTGAAATAGGATTACAATTCCAATGAGATTACATAGCATTACTCTTTCGTTAATATGAATGACACTAAATCGTTGAGAGGTCAAAATTTAAGCATAGTATTCAGTCAAATAAATAGAAAAATCAAACGAAGAGTTGTGCTAATTAGTCAAATGCTAGGGATAAATATGCTATTTTACCCAAATGTTGAGTACGAAATACGCGAGTAATTTTTATTTTAGTATAGATTTATGTAGATTAGAACCTCTACAATAAAATCAATCATGGTCTCTAATGGGGCATAATGTACCAATGGCCGTGCTTTCTTGAGCGAGGCACTTCAAAATTTAGTAGCTCGATATTTTGACACCTCTAATGGCACTCTTTAACAATCTTATGAAAAGTTCAAATAGAGTTTTGATATTTGTGCTCAAAACATGTTTGAAAAGTGTATATCAACGGTTTAAATATATAGATAAAAATGAGTGAGTAGTATTTAAGAGTTATGTGTAGATAAAAACAACCTTGAATGTTTATAAATAGGTTGTAAACATAAGCCAAGCATAAGCTAAGATCGAGCAGTAAAGTGTGCAGAGCTTCAAAATTTTCGAACAATTTTCACCATATCTAACATTACTTGCTTAACACAACTATTTTTCTATATATTTCTAAACCTAATATTTCATTTAAAAAAAAAAAGACAATTTTTGTGGTTTTTTCTGTCATTGAGAATGTTACGTCATTGTGTGTATTTTAATATAAGAAACTTTATATTTTATTGTTTCGGTGCCTACATTTATTTATTATCCCTGATATACTATTAGCAAATCCAACAATTTTATCTAAAAGAGAAAATCTTGACAATAGCCTAAGGATGGCAACAGAGCGTGTCAGAGTCGGGCAACCTCCCTTGCCCCTCGCCACGCTGTGTAATTTTCCACCCACTTACCTGTTTAAGGGGGTGGAGCGGGCCCGTTTACCTTTTCTTAAAAATATTTCATTTTATTATCCTTATTCATTAAAGTGTGTCAATAATATATTTCTTAGTTTTTATTTTTTAGTTTTAAAAGTTAAATTATTTAAATATACTTGATAAATTAAAATTTTTATTATTTGTCATATTTTTTAGATAATTTTAGTTGTCAGCTTCTATTAGAATGAATAAAATTTGTGGAGTTTTTTTTATTGGATTCTTAGAAAAAATAAAGATTAAACGGGACAAGGCCCTTGTTACATTTACTCGACCGGAATACTTGATTAAGCGGTGGATATCGGGTTTAACCAACTTTTTGCCATCCCTACCATATCCAATAGGCGATAGTCAAGGTTTACACTGCAGATTTACTTGCTTGCCCGAAGCAAAACAAAAGCTAACAATGAACTAAGTATTATATGTTCTTATTTAATTTAAAATCAAACTTCTCAACAGTATCTTTGTGAGTTGTCTTTGATGATATAGAATTACTATGTCAAGATATAAATTGAGTCAAAACTACAAATTCTCGAGCCAATTCTAAGAGAAACACATCCGCCTACTTGTGGTGGCAAATATAAAACTATTCTTTTTTTTCTTTCTTTTTTTTAAACTATTCGATCAATTTATCCATTAGCCTATTCTGAGCCCCTCGAGGCATAACCTAGTGGTGCAAAGTACAAAAGTGGGGTTATTTCACACCTTACTGACAATTGCAGTGTGGGGGTTCAATTCCTGAAACATGGAATTGAATTCCTTGTAGGCGCAGTGTACAGGCAGCTCTTGTTCCCTGACCTGTTGGGGCACATCCCAAGATTTACCTCCCTCATAAAGTTGTAGGGACGGGACAGTGGGGGCTCTCAAGGTTGGGGTTCAACCTTTTTTTTTTTTTCTTTAAACTATTCGATGAATTTATCCATTAGCCTATTTTGACAAGGGATACGAAGCAAAATCTTTGCTCCGCCTAAAATAAACCTCACAGAAGTAAATAAGAGAGGTAGCATATAGACTCGAGTGTTGAGCTCAACATATATTCTTGTGGGGTCCACTTAATTTGGTTGAATAGATTTATTAAGGCTTTGTTTGTGCCCCATTCTACCACATTATTTTTTTTGCAGTATTCATTTTCAATCACACATTTTTCATTAAAATAATATTATATGTAAATAAAAAACTTTTCTTTCTTTTCTAACCATACATTTTAACATCAATCACTATTCTATAATATATTACTTACAAATAATGGGGCACAAAAAAGCACTAACTGTCTTAAGACTCATGTGATTGCTTTTAGAACATGTTTCACAAAGCTTAAAAAATATGTTTTTTTTTTTTTAAACGTGCAATTGATAGAAATAAATTATACATTAAAAAAGATTTTATCTTATTTTTATTTTTAATACTTAATACTCTATAAATCCTAGCATATCGTACCAACCATGCTATAAATTTCTTGAATGGATATGCTTCTTTGGGTTTGAAGTCCAAGAAAGAATTGACCCTCTTGAATTTGATTGGGCCTCCAGTTGTAATACTGGATAAGATTATGAGCGATGAATTATGGCAAAATTTCATAAAATAAGTATGGAATATTTTAAAATTAAGAAAACAAGTTTCAAATTTCAAAAATCAGATTTTTATTAAAAATTGTTTATGATTTAATTAGTTAGTTAATTGTTCAATTAATTAAATATATTTAAGTCACATATCTATACAATTTGATCACAAAATAATAATTTAAATAGTAATTTATTATTTTTTTGTCATAAATCAGAAATTTTATGATCATAATTTAAAAATCTCATAGGTCACAGTTCGTTCATCGATCAAAAATCAAAAAAATTAATTAGTCACGATTAATTTTTAGTCACAACTTATTTGTCTGTCACAAATCAAAAAATTTATAGGTCACAGATTATTTTTCGGTCACGAATCAAAAATTTTATAGCTTAAGGATCACAAATAATATAGAACACAATTTATTAGACAAATACAAATTATTAATTTTTTAGGTCACGCATTATTTCTTACTCGCAATTTATCTTTTTCATTGATTACATATTATTTATTGGTCACTGATGAACCAATTCATTGGTCATAATGAGTCAAATAATTTATGACCACCACCAACACTTACGACCACCGCTTCAACGCTGCCTCCAACAGCACCACCACCACTGTCACCGCCAAAACCACAACACATTGATCACAAATTAATTAATTTATTAGTCACAAATTTCAATCAACCAATAAAATCGTCACAAATACCTACACCCCATTCCACCACTCCAAAGTACCGAACAACCACCAACCACCACCAATGACATTCCATCGCCACCATCGTCGATATCACCACCGCTACAACACCAACAGCACACATACCCCATCCCACCACTCCAAAGTACCACTCCACAACCAACAACTGCCAACGGCGTTACCCACCACCACCATCGACATAACCACTACGATAACTCCAACAATAACAACAACACCACACGGATTGCCACCACACAAAACCATCCCTACCACCATAGAGATCACCATCCAAACCCCACCCAAACCGCTACAAATTACCATCACACAAAGACACCATCCAAACCCAACAAATTGCCACCAACCCAAACTACCTCTCCTTCGAGCGCTACTGTGAAGAGTCGTCGGAGTGGTGGATCCGCTTTGCGGTATCATTTCATCTTCGCTATTCACGATGATTCACGAAGGGAAAACTGTCGAAGGGTGATTCGCGATCATTTCACCACCACAACTCACAGTGGATCTGCTGCAGAAACAGAAGAGGGAGGAGCAGGCATCGTTGGACTAGAGGTTGTATCGATGACATTGCTTCGATTGGCTTCACTCCGATGCCGACGATCTCACTTTATTTCCCCACTGTTGATATTCGGTGGTTGAGAGGTGAGAATAGAGACAAAAGTGAGGTAATTTAGAGTTTGAAATTAGGATTTGTTAGATTAATTATTTTTTATGTATATTAATTAATTAATAAAAGTTCTGATTTTTGAAATATTAAACTATCAATATGATTTTAAAATGTCAAATACTTAAAATATGGTTTGGTGTAATTTCCACAAGAATTAAAGCCCGCTCCAATCTGTAGAGGCAGATCCTATCCAGTCGGCGATGGCCCAAGTCCAGCTAGGGTTCCATCTAATCTACGCCAGTGGCAACGTACACGCACTTGATATAATGTACCGTGATAGGCGCAAAAGATTCGAGAGCAACATGGTCCCACCGCAACTGCAAATGTTTGGGCCTTTTGCGCACGATAATCCCGTTCCACCATTCAGCGCACGGTAGCTCTTCAACGCTGCCAAGAGTTCATCTTCCTGCTTGGATGCGCACAGCGCACCGCTCCCGCTTTCCTGATCTTACCCGCCCAATAAATATTAATTTTTCTGCTTAAAATTTCTAGAATTTTCTATTTTATTTCTCAAAGTCAGTAGCTCCAGTAAATCTTCCCTCTTATTCGGTAAGTAGATTACTTATAGTTTTTTTTTTTTTTGTATGAAATCATATTTTTGTTTTTATGCAAAATAAAAATTCTTCATGGCCGTACGTTTGTTGTTTCAGGGATTAACAAATTTTGCTTGTTATATTAGTTCACATTTTTTTTTTTTATCAAGATAAGGATTAGATCCTAAATATTGAGTATTTTATTTGAAGTCATGGCAATTAATTTTCAGACTTTCGAATCAAGCGGTATGAAGATGATATTTTCAAGGGATCATCAATGTGGAGAAGCGTTTTGAACTGTAGCTGATGATGTAAATTAGAACAGTGAGTTTGTTGCTTATCGAAGTTGCTTAAATTTAAGATTATTTGAAATGTTAATTTGACTGTATGATTAAACGCTACAAATTTGGAATTGCAATGACAGTTTGAACATGGGACGAAAATTATTCTCTGTAGGCGAAGAAAATGAAGATAGAGCATGGACGACTAAGGCGTTACTGAATTTAAAATCATTGCCATTTTTGCTTGTTGAGGTGTCATAGTCATTGTTATCACATTGTTGAGTACTGATCTGGATATAGAAATTTTGAACGATAAACAAACTTTTGTTGGTGGATTATTCATTGTTTATTGTCGAATGTGGAAGTTTCTAGAATTTCACTGTAATAAGTGATTATTCTTACCCTTGAAAATGAAAGATAACCCACAAACACATGGGATTGATTGGTAGGGGTGAGACTATCATTAATCTTTAGAGGCATTAGAAGTCCCTTTTTTTCTTGGCTACTTGTATGTATCGTCATGGTTAACTTTTGGCTATAGGTTGGGTTGAAAATGACCTCATTAAGCATTGGAAATTGGTATTCCACATGCATTCTCCCCACTTTACAGAGATCTTCTTGTGATTAGGTTCTTGTGAAATGTACCATCAAGCATACTCATCTTCAGCATTTTGTACTATTATCATTTGCTGATCCCTCACCCCCATCAAAACACATACCCCAAGAAAAAAGAGAACATAATTCTAATGTCAAGTTTGATACATGATATTAGAGTGAATTGGACACTATAGTGCATAAGATTTTAGTTTCTTTTTCTTTCTTAATTTCAAATACTATCTAATCCTGTTCAGTCCCCTGATCAAACATGCCATAAGAGTTTAGTTGTCTGGCCTCACAATGATATCTTTACTGCAGCCTTAAGCCTTAAGAATTCTAGTTGTGAAATGTTAATTAATGTCCCTAAAATTTTCTACTGGATCTTTGATATTGGTCGTAGTCATACTAAAATTCCAATTATTCTCAGTTGCTGTATCTGCATATTGGTTTATCTTGATCGGAGTGATGCCTGAAATAACAACTATATTGAAAGAAACTTCTGAAAATGGATCAGAGTCTTCTCCAAATGATAATGGAACTGTAGAGGAAATGCCAGAGGACACAATTTTGTCGCGACAAGCATCTGTGAACCTTGTGCCATTCATTGGTCAAAGATTTGTCTCTCAGGATGCAGCATATGAATTCTATTGTAGCTTTGCCAAGCAATGTGGGTTCTCAATCAGACGTCATCGGACTCGTGGAAAAGACGGTGTAGGCAAGGGGATTACAAGAAGGGATTTTACATGCCATCGTGGTGGATTTCCACAACTGAAGCCATTAGATGATGGAAAGTTACAAAGGAATCGAATATCCTCGCGATGTGGATGTCTAGCATATATGAGAATAGTAAAAAGGGCAAATTTCGACGTCGCTGAATGGCGTGTCACAGGTTTTAGCAATATGCATAACCATGACCTCTTGCAGTTCAGTGAAACTCGACTACTCCCTGCCTACTGCACAATGACTGTTGATGACAAGAGTCGTATATGCATGTATGCAAAAGCTGGGATGTCAGTTCGGCAAATGCTTAGGTTAATGGAGCTAGAAAAAGGCGTTAAGCTAGGTTGTTTATCATTCACAGAGATTGATGTCAGAAACTTGCTTCGGTCGTTCAGAAGTGTGGAGCGGGATGATGACCCAATCGACCTTCTCAAAATGTGCAAGGAGAAGAAAGACAAAGATCCCAACTTCAAATACAACTTTAAGATAGATGCCAATAACAGGTTAGAGCACATTGCATGGTCGTATGCTTCATCAATCAGATTGTATGAGGCCTTTGGAGATACAATAGTTTTTGATACTATTCACCGCTTGGATACATATGATATGTTACTCGGGATTTGGATTGGAGTGGACAATCATGGAACGAATTGTTTCTTTGGCTGCGTACTTATTAGGGATGAAAATATGGGGTCATTCTCCTGGGCTCTGAAGGTAAGTAATTACATAAGCACCATTCTCCATGTTTCTTCCGTGACTGATGTTTAGATTTTCTTGTTTTATTTTTAACCCTTATAGATATTACTTGAGTTATTTACCAACATTTGACTGCATTTTCGTGTATGCCTTGATGCAAGATGCAGAAAGAATTTCAAGTCACTTGTTTATTAGGATCCTAATGATGCTTGTGAGCACGAGGTTGTTACTTCTATACTTTGAATATGTTTGGATAAAGTTTAAAAGGTTGACTTATAAGTAAATAAGCTTTGAACTTATTTTATTTGGTCCAAGTGAGATATTCAACGGAAACAAACAATTACTTGAACCTCGCTTACTTTTAAGCATGGCTAAACATTCTAGTATTTGTTCATTGAGATAAAATTTTGTTTATGCTAATAGACACTTCACTTAAGCCTGTGATTTGCTAGCATTGCCATTTAGCATCTGCTGACAAATGTTCAATCCCTCATACATTCGTTTTCAGGAGCGGAATGCTGGAATTTTGATTGCACGACAAGTGTTCAAAGGAATATTACTTATTTTCTTTTTTACCCTTTTTTCTTTTTTTCCTGTTTACTCCCAGAGAAAAAAATAGAAAAAACTTGCATTCTAATTCCACCAATTTGTTACCCTATCTATGTTTTGATCCCTACCAGAGGGCCATATTTAATTGTCGCACCATTTACAATGTGTTATCTGTTAATAGAATGGGATCATATAGCATTTTCATCATATCCGTATAGAGTAATTTTGAGATTTCCAGAGTATACCATTTTGGTCATTTATATTCTTTCATTGTATTTGACAGACGTTCTTGGAATTCATGAATGGAAAAGCTCCGGGAACAATTTTAACTGATCAAAACATGTGGCTTAAAGAAGCAGTTGCTACTGAAATGCCACGGACTAAGCATGCCTTTGCCTTTTGGCATGTCATTTCAAAGTTTCCAGATTGGTTTTCTGTTGTACTTGGCTCGCAATATGATAACTGGAAATCTGAGTTCCATCGGCTTTATAATTTGCACTCAACAGAGGAATTTGAAGTGGGATGGAGGGATATGGTTGATGCATATGGACTGCATGGAAATAACCATGTCGTGAGCCTGTATGCATTGCGTACATATTGGGCACTACCTTTTCTGAGATGTTATTTCTTTGCAGGAATGACTAGTACATCCCAGTCAGAATCGATAAAGTCATGCATCCAACGTTTTTTGAGTGCACAATCTATGCTTGAGAATTTTGTCGAGCAGGTCGAGAAGGTACCAAACTATTTCCTTCTATTTGTTACTTTATGAGTTATTACTTATTACAGCTGTCAATTTTATATAGAGAAAATTGTATCGTTAGTACCTATTGTCCGAGTATCTAGTTGGTCCTTGATCTTTAAGAAAGAGAAAGATGGCATTCAGCTTTCTATTATAGTTGCTGTCCGCAGTGTCAAAAACCGTCAAAATCTCCATAAAAATGTCCTGTGATTCTCACATTTTCAACTCTAGAATTTGGATTTGAAATAAGGCATGTGCCCTCGAAGGCCACACGACTATTTAAAAAGATTTGGACACCCTTTGTCATCGGGAATTAATTGTGCAATTATAATTAAAGGATGCCTAGTGCTGCAATCTTTCTTGTATTTACTCTTTCGCAGGTGGCCACAGTTTTAGATGCTAAAGATCAAGCAGAAACAAAACAAAAGATGCTACGTAAGATACCTGAAGTATCCCTCAAAACGGGTTCCCCAATTGAGTCGAATGCTGCAGCTGTTCTTACACCATATGCCTTCTGCCAACTACAGGAGGAACTCTTATTGGCACCTCAATATGCATCGTTAATTGTAGATGAGAATTACTTTATTGTGAGACACCATACGGAAAAGGATGTGGGGTGCAAAGTACTATGGATTCCGAATGATGAGTTGATAAGCTGTAACTGTAATCACTTTGAGTTTTCAGGCATCCTCTGCAGGCACGTTCTTCGTGTTCTCTCAATCAACAATTGTTTTCAGATTCCCAACCAATATCTGCCCAATTGATGGCGTGATGTCCCTTTGTCATCAACTAAACCTGTGCATGCTACTTCTGGAAAGATTCAGTTATTGCAATCAATGATTTCAAGACTAATTACAGAATCAATCGAGACAGAAGATCGCCTTGATATTGCTTGTGATCATATCGCTTTGGTTTTGGCTCGAATCAAAGAATTTCCTGTTGCATCAAACGGTGCTAATGATATTGCTTATAACAGTCCATCTGATTCCCTTGTGCTTCCAGAAGTTGAAGATTCTGATGGTATTGCTCAAAGTTTCACTGGAAACCCTCGTGAATCTTTAGCTTTTGAAAAGTTGAAAGAGAGACCATGGAGAGATGGACTGGGAGATATATACAGGAAGAGAAGGCGTTTTACAGTTCCTTGTGGTCAATATGGACATGATGCTAGCGACTGCCCTGTGCTGGGAGGTGATGAATTCAATGGAGATGGGTCTGGGTTTCTATAGGTTGATGTGTTTGGTACGCTGGATTTACACCGCAGGACTGGATCAATAAAAAAAGTTAAAATCTTATGCGTACGGAACGTACTTTCGTGAAAATGACTGGATTTACATAGTTTTCGTATAGTGGAAGTCCAATGTCCGTAGCGCAATATTCATTATCTCCTGTTCGCCAGTGTAGAGTTTGAAATAGCATGCTTGCTTAATCTCCACATGAAGTGTAAATCTTGAGAATGTATTTACAGTTGTGTACCATTCAAAGATTCCAAACAGCACATTTCCTCAGGTCTCGAGTCCAGTGGAAAATTGTTGAGCACAAAAATCAAGTCCCTGTTTGACAATTTTTTTGAAGATAATGAGTTTTTGAATAGTAAGTTTTTGGAGAATGTTTAGTTAAAAAGTGGGAAAAAAATTTAGATTTACGTGAAGAATGTTTTATTGTAAGAATTTACTATTGAAAATGAGTATGAGAAAAAAGGTTTTTGAGAGAATGATTACCAAACAATGACTAAATGGCAAACTTGCTGATAAGCACATTGCTTTCATAGCATTATCCCAAGGAATGTTTGATTTGCAGAACCTGGCACGATTTAGGAAGATAGGCCAAGTGATATGATTGTTTGTCTGTCTCATCAGTATCATCTTTTTCCATAGAGTCCGTTTGGTATGGATTAAAATTTGATTTTAATTTAAATCAAAGTCAAATAACCAATACTAATCACATCTTCCATAGGTCTTATAACTTTTCAACAACACATTTCAAAAAATTCTATCATAATTTACTGAAGATCGAATTTTAATTCCCACCATACACTAGCATGTCTTGAATTGCTTTCAAAGTGACAAGAAATGATGAACATCAAAATCCAGCAAGGGATAGCATGAGCCTAAATTGTGGAATTTGTAAAATGTTTGGGCACAAGATAGCTACATGCTCCTCGAAAAATCAGACTGCAATTATAAATCAAGCTGGGGGCGCAAATACTAAGCAAGTCCTAGTTGTGGAGCCTAAAACACAGCAAAATCAACATGGGATAAATGGACAGATTTATGACAACAGTTCAGCACAGTCAGAATCAGCAGCACATGCTGGAAAAAATGGACAAATTGTTGTAAATTGGATGCAGGCAAATTCCGTTGGACAGGGAGATATACCAGATGGATGCACAGCAAAAGCAGCTTACTGAACTAATGGTCGAACCATTCGTTGAGGTTGTCAACAGGAAAAAGGTCGTGCATAAGGGACGGAACAGTTATGAACAAAATGGCCAGTACATTGCTGGACGAAATGGCCAGAATGCTCGTGGGGAATCAGTGCAAGAAAATAGGGACGAGCAGGAATATCCCTTTGTTGAGGTCGCTAGCAAAAAGAAAGGAATGAATAAGTCCAATGGCCATGTTTAGGAGGAACAAGGAACGACGACGACATGCAATCACAAGTTCAAAGGCAAGGTGGAGATCTACGTACTCCTGCAGTCAAGAAAGATAAAAAGAGGAAACCCACTCTTGATATCGAAATGATTCAACGAGTAGGGGATCACCCTACATTTGCATAGAGGTTCAACACCTCAAGTTCTAGTTTTGATTAGATAGAGTTGCAGCAACTTTTGAAACTTCATGGTTGGATTCGATTTAAGTATATTATTTGCGTGGAATCCACAAGCGTACGGATCGTTACAAGTACTAATAAAGTGAGTTGTGAGTTATCGTCCTACGATGAATAATGTTTAATTCTAGTTCAATAGTTACTACTAAATTTGATGTTCGTGATACAAAAGACGTGATTTTGTTGATATTTAAATTAATTCTAAATTAAGGAAACAATAAAAAATATTTTGTCAAATATGTGAATGATTGTATTGGATTTTGAACCCCCTATTGACATTTATTTTAATTCTTGATTCATAATATGGTCAATTTCATGCTTTTGTAACAATTGATAACACTAGTGTATTTAATTATCTTTTCTAAGATAAATTAAGTATATTCTAATCACGATCCGATTTTATTCCTAGTCAGAATTCATATGACAAAAATGCATTAAATTATAAGTTATATATGTGATTACATATGTGATAAAGATTATTCATAATTATATTTAATTAACTGATAAAGATTATTCATAATTATATTTAGAATGTTAATTTTGTCTTGTTCTAAACTTATTATGAGCCTCCCAACACTACAACAAGCAACTAATTATTCAATTGGTGGCCAATAAATTAAATAATACAATAAGTATGCAAAATCAATCAAAAAATAACTAAATTAATAGTCTTAAATCAAAACAAATATACAATAGGGTTCATTATTCATCCAATGCAATAGAAAAACCAGTCTAGCATTCTAATGATTAAATTATACAATAAATATTGGACAAACATCACCCAAAAAGAAGAAATAATAAAGAAAGTGGAAAAATCCAATTTCTTGGCTTGAATCTTCAAAAGTGATGAATATTATTTAATAAACTTGTATAATCCATCTTGATCTTGATACTTAGTCTCGTTCTTCACCTCCAAAATATGTAGAATATAGAAACTTTTAGGTCTAAGGAGGTCCCTACGTTTTGGATAGCTTACAGTATAAATAGGGTACCAAAAGATATAATACAAAAAATTTCCAAAGTAAAATAAGGAAACAATTTTTTTCGCGAAATTTAACCATGCGTACACATGGTTCATTTGGTGCTTAAGCATATTAGATTTGTTTTGGCCTCAGTAACTCCATAATTGGTCTATACGTACACAAGGTTGCAGGCTTATGCTTAAATATAGTACAATTTTTTGTCGAACTTTCTCACGCGTGTATTTTGATCATTTTCGACAAATTCTCATCCCATTGACTTCTCTTCAACTCTATTTGACTCTAGGCGTTCTTGAATCATCGTTTTGCAATCCAACTCAAATTTTGAAGTATTGCATTTTAGTATCCAAACTTTGTATTTGATTCGATCGAGCCATTTTTTCTTGTAATCTTGTTCCTTTATCTTTCAATTGTATCCAATTAAATCATTGGCATCTTTGATATTTATTTTGTCGCCCATCTCATATATGGATTGTATGTAATTTAGTCCTCGACTTTTGGATTTTGTCATTTTTCACTATTTTTGCATTTGTTTCTCCAATTCTTCATGAAACATCGAGTTTTACCTATTTGACAAAATATAACTTGAATTAGGTTATATTTCATTAGAAAAACTATAAAATATCATTATTTAAAAGGGTAATTGGCACAAAACATCCCTACCTTTCAAGTCTATTGTGGAAAACGTTCATACCTTTCATTTTTTGACATTTTTGCCCTCTTATCAACCTTTCTTTGCTCTAGACGTCCTTCCGTCCACATTCTGTCAATTTCTTTATTAATTAAATACAAAAATGCCTTTTTCTTTCAATAAATAAGGATAAAATTGTTCTCACCTATTTCGCCCCTTTATTCAACCCTTTTAATAAACAAGGGTGAATGGAACAACGGCTGAAGAAAGCTGAGATTGCTCAAAGGTGTAAAATGAAAAATGAGAAAGCAGCACGGGAATCAGAGTTTTGCTTTTTCTCTCTACTTCAATTTATTTTCATCTTGTATGACTTTTAGAATTTTGAAAGCATGTAACATCAACTTTGTAGGCAGAGACAGTTAGAAAAATACTTGTCAAGATTCCAGTTGGAAGAAGTGAGAAGATGAAGTGAAGAAGCACCAGGAGTTGGCACTGGTACTGTGTTTCTTCTCGAGCCCTCTATTTGAGTATTGTTATGAAGCTAACTACTAATAATTCTTTTTTTTCTTTTTTGGAACAAAAAATATAGGAGAAGGCAGCCAATGCTTAAATGCTAGCATCAAGCACCATTAAATGGGTCATGGGCCCGATTGGGACCACTGTCACTTTCTCGAAAGATATGGGTTTTCCCAAAATCAGTCTCGAATTTTTTTGTGTATAAACAAGAGGAAAATAGAAGAAAACACAAACTTTTCTTGCCAAAATTTTTAAAAGGTTGGGACGTTATTCGCAAATTTTTTAAAAAGGTAGGGACATTTCTCACCAATACATTTTAAAGGTAGGGATGTTTTCAGAAAAAATATAACAACGTAGGGACTATTATCACAAGGTTAATTCAATTCTTAGAAGAAGTGAATAGGACCAGTTCATATTATCCATTGAGCCAAAATGAGACATTCACCATTAAAATGTAATACGTACGTCACAGCATCCATTTCCACTCGTTCTTCTCAATTTACCCAATGGGTTTCACCTTTAATAAGCATATACTAGAAGTGAACATCCAACATTAATCTTTATAAATTGACCACCCATTTAATATGTCTTTCTAAATTTTTTCAGTAGCCCAACATGACAACAACAGTAGTTGTGGAATTGTGAAATATAATGTTGTTCACGATATTTTTTCTTTATTTAACGTAATAATTTAAAGTATTTTCATATTCATGTTGCTACTACTATTACTTATGGACTAAGTTGATGGCGGGAATAAGGGGTGAAATAGGTGAGGACAATTTTACCCTTGTTTATGGAAAGAAAAATGTATTTTGTATTTAATTAACGGAAAAACTGACGCAATGTGAACAGAATGACGTCCAGTGCAAAGAAATGTTGAAATGAGGGCAAAAATGTCAAAAAATGAAATGTAGGGACGTTTTTGTCAATTACCCTTATTTAAAACCTCGAAAAAGTGTATAAAATACACTTATCATCTATTGCTTTAGATCATTAGATATTTCATAATGTTTGACATCTATGCTCAGGTATGCCCGGAATAGTTGTATTCATTTTTTTTTCAAAACAAATTTATTTACTTGATCATAAGAAAAAAGAAAAAGAAAAAAAGAACTCAATCTGAAGTATGCATATTTGGTTTGGTCCTAGCTTATACTGAACATGTAGGGTCTAATTATATTGTTCATTTTTTTGCTTGACCGTAAATATTAATGTTATGTGGCGTATTGAGTAATTCGTTACAATGAAACCTTACAATGGCTAATGAAAGTGGCTCTTTCTTTACTTTCAATTTTCATTTCATATTTGCTTTCCGTGGCATGAGATTACACAAGGTTTGGCCCCCATTTTTTCTAAATTTTAATTGTAGGAATAGTATTTTATTTTATTTTTTTTGAAAAATGTGTGGTTGAAAAATAATAAAAAAAATTTTATTTGCGTATAATATTATTTTATATAAGATTGTGTGATTGAAAATGAGAGAGAAAAAAAGAATGATAATAAGAATGGGGGCCAAACGATAGCATTTACCAAATGCCACCCGCTAAAATTTGATTAAGACAGTAGTGGACAGTAAGAAGTTAAACCTACTGCTTGAATTAATTTTTCGATTACATTTGTTGCAGATTGCATCTAATGGCGATTTCTTCCCTATCATGTCTACACGATAACAATATTAAAGAGACATCATGCTATTTATGAGTGCAAAGTTTAGGGTTAGTGCTACTTCATTATTACCTTGAACCATGCCGATTATATGGCTTTTTGCATGGTGCGCAGTTGCACCATGGTGGTATGATTTAACCATTAAACTCATATTTTCTAACCATTTAATTTTTTAAACAAGTTATCATTTAATAGTAATAGTTTCAATAATATTAACATTTATTCGCTCTTGATATTAGCTAATAGGAAAATTTCATAACTATAATAGTTTAATAATACAATTTCAAAATTAACGAACTTGAAAAAAAAATTCAAAAATTTGATAGTAGAATAATGTTATTTGCAGTCACTCATTGTCGCAATCGCCCTATATGACATATATGTGATGATTGGTGATTTGATATATGAAGTAAGAAAAAACTACCACATTAATATATCAAATCACAAATTGCCATATAGGATGCCACGTAGAGCCCCTATAAATAAAATTACTCAATGATATATAACATTTTAACTATGACATATTCGGATAGATGATTGTGACTAATAAATTGTGCGATTGTGCCTTAGTAATTGTAACTTTAATTTTATATGTGACATGTTAGTTACATTTACATTATCACTTAATTTTTTAAAACAAAATGTTAATGCTTAATTGATAAATTAATACTTAAAAAACATGACTTCGGACCATTTTATGATAGCTAGTTCCCTCAAGGGCATCAAAACTCCAAATTACTAAAAACATATCGCCCTGGATAATGGACCACTAGTTATGGAAATACATACACGTACATATTTCAACCAATCTTCAATTAAATAATTCTACTTGTATACATAATAAATTAACATGCACATGAGGTGTCAAACAAGAGTGGGGATTTTTATTTTTATTTTTTTGTTGAAAAAAATTATGACATATATATATATAAATGTCCAATTTTACACATATTAATTTAAAAATGTCCACTTTTGATAATCTTTGCAAAAATGATCAAATTTGATACCAAATTCTCTATTTTACCCTTAATGAAAGAATAAATAATTTCATATTGCACATGTCAAATCACAATTAATGCTAAACACAGAAATGTCAATAACAATATTTAAAATGTAGAAAAATGTCATATTCGGAATGAAATGTCATTCTAGACATTTAATATGTCGAGAACAACGTTTGAAATGTCGAGAACATTTAATATTACGATTTGATATGTGTACTTTTGAAATATAAATGAATTCAAATATCGAGAACGACATTTGAAATGTCGAGAACATCATTTTAATGTAACTTCTCATATAATCTACTTAGAGGTACTTTCGTTCAAATAATTGCAAAAATGGATATTAAAAAATTTTGGACCATTTTGAAAATGATTATGTTAAAATGGACATTTTTTGTAATTTCCTCAAATTTAAATTGAAGAAGTCTTCAATTAGAAATAAATTTGTAAATGTTTGTAAATTCAATAAAAATTAAACATTAATTTAACCATATATTCATATTTATTACTAGGCGAACCTGGCACAGTCCGACAATATAGGTTGGTAACCCGGCTTTAGCACATTTTTTAACGGGATCAATACATAACTCCAAGTTATAAAGATTACATTTCATAAATAACAAACTCGCTAAAATATTTCAAAAATCAGGTGGTAAATAAATTTATTAAATATTAAATTATAATATAATATATATTAATTATTTCCACCCATGCCACCTCACCCTACTACACCACCTTCCCTCTACTTCTCCATTGGAGATGGCTATTGACTCGACGATCACTCTGGAAGTCATTCCAGTGAATGTTCCGGTGACCACTCCATCCTACTCTACCCCACCCCAGCAATCTAAAAAATTCAAATCTCTCTATACCCCCACTCCAACAGACCCAACCCCCACCTTATCTCTCACTATAGAAAACTCCAAAAATTAAAAATATTCTCTCTACAGAAACTCTCTCTCTATATACATTTACATACACAAATAACATTATAGGTGGTGGTAGTGGAGGTGGAGAGGTGACACTATATTTAGAAAATAGATCTACGTGGTGGGGGTGATAGCACATTGTAGGTGATGAAGGTGCATTGCAATTGATTGTTTAATGATAGTGGTGGTGGTGGTGGTAGTAGCAACGTTTTGAATACCATGTGGTGACAGTGGTGTTTCATTGTAGTTGACGAGATTTGTGACTAATTGTGTTATATGTGACCTAATTTATAGTTTGTGACCATACCTGTGTTATCTGTGACTAATTGTGACCAGATTGTCTATGATCAATCCCAAGTCATGTGTAACTGTATGTGATCAAATCACCGACATGTGTTATCTGTGACTAATTGTGACCAAATTTGTATTTAGTGTGACTATTTGTGACTATATCAGTCCAAATTGTGACTCTCTGTTAATCTGGTCACAAACGGTCACAATAAAGACAAAATTGATCACATCCGATCACAATAAACATATTATTTATCACAGAGGGTCACCACAAACAAATCTGCAACATCAAAGACCAACACCACAATGCACCACAACTACACCTTCAACTCAAATCTACATTCACCTCAAATCCACAACAACAATCACTACCACCATCACTTTGACCAATACCTTCAATAACACACCAACCACCAGCATCGCAACATCTACAGAACCAACAACAACAACAGAACCACCCCACAGATTAGAAAATCACCAATAGTACTGCCACCACCAACAAATCATCACATCTCTAAACACCCCTAAATTGGATTAGAAAATCACCAACTTTAGATAGAACAAATTTCAAGTACCAATTTTATGTAGTAAAATCATCAATTAATGAAGAATTTGATTGCTAAGACACTGTGTATCCAGGCCACAGAAAATAACACCAAAACAAAAACACCATCGACTAAACCTTAAACTCCTGATATTAGAATTTCTGAATGATCTTAACCAAGTTCAAGCAAAAGAGCTTATCAAACCCATTCCATTATCAAATAATTTCCCATTCATCTCAGGCCAAACAAGTTGCAACAAATTCCAACCAATAAAAAAACTCTAGTAGATCTGCTCTAGATTCATCAATGGCCCTAGATCCGTTTAGCACGAAATCCATGTGGCGATCACTTTTATCCTCATAAAGCTTCAGGGAGCCAATGAATAAGTCTTTCTATTTTGGTTCGCCATTGCGACGAGGCCGTTGGTGCAGCTAACATCGTTTGTTTTCGGGATGATTAACCGTTTGTTTCGCGGTCATCTATGTCTCCTTGACGTCACCATCATCGCCCTCGCTGGAAATCTCTTCCAGTGGCCTCCCTTTCGTCTTAGTCACAAGGAAGGTACAGAAAAATCCAAGACTAGTGGGGAAAAGCTCTGTCGGCAGCACAAAGGTTGTTGAGTTGGGGTCGAAATCAGCGAAGATGAACGCTAGCCTGTAAAGAACCGCAAAATCCCATTCTTTTCATTTTTGGAGTGATTATATTTGGGACAGAGAAAAGTTTGGGCAACTACTGATGCTAAAAATGAAATTGATTTTGAGGGTGGGGTGGGGTGGGGAAGACGGTGAACCTGTAAATTATTTGTAATTAAAATTTTATTAATTATAATTATTAAAATCTAATTATCATCTGATCTGTGAAATGAAAATTAATTCCCTTATTTTTTGAAAATTAGTCTTTAATTATAGGTTTCTAGGTAATTTTCTCTTTTTTAACCCCCATTATCTCTACCAAACTCATGCTACCGTCTAACCTAGTAAAAGATAGGTAGGAACTTAAATCCCTCCTCAATAAAATTCGAATAGAATGAAAATGATAGCCAACTTGATGTCCCCAGCATTTATCAGCCACTACACCATCAATCTCATGCCATTAATAATATACCCCACCCTATTCCTACCTCCTCCGCAGCCCCGCACATGCAAACTTTAGCTTTTTCCTTCTCAAAATGTCATATCTGTAATAGTTTATCTCATTACGTATATTGAAAAGGTGAAGTGAAAAGCATGGAATCGGTGCCAGCTACTCTGTACAATGGAATCAAAGGATACTGGAAGAGAAACGGGTACGAAAGGCTGAATGGAACTGCCCGTCGGAGAAGGAAGATCCGAGTAGTAAAGCTAACTTCCGCCGATGGTACGAAACAGCGGCGGCGGTTCTGGAGGATAAAATTGAAGATCAAATTTTCGCCTAAAAAGTTGTTGCGCCGGCTCCGAGATGCGTACGTGAACATGATGATGAAGATTGCTAATACGCCAGTGATCGCAGGCGCCGGCGGGTTCCCAGGGGGTGGCGTGAGTGGATTTGGGAGGGGGCCGATGAAAGAGTATGATGAGAGGATGATTACAGAGATATACAAATCTGTTTTAAAGGCACAGAGCCAAATGGTGCCCCGTGACGCGACCCGAATTGGATCCGAAATCATCTGCCAACGGTAATAACTACTTGACTATCTTCCATTATCACACAATATTTTGATCAACAAAATAAGAATCCTTTGATTTTTCTATATTTCCTTATACAAGTTCTATATCTTGCAATACTTATATTAGTTGTATCTATTTGGATGTGGACGGTCTGATTCGGGTAGATTTTAATCAAAACAAGATAAAGTCGAACAACAGTTAAAATTCTACATGAAGAATCAAAAGTTTCATGTGCGGCGATAAAGTGGATTTAAATCAGACGAGAAATGCTACAAGTAAAGATTTTTTTGACAAATATTATTCAGGAAACACAGCTGTCTTGCAGGTATTGGTTGCTGTCAAAAATAACTTTTGGCAACAGCAAGTAACAAGGAAACAACTCTCTCTCTGTATAAAATCTGGCAAAAAATTCTGTACCTACAGAGTAATTCAAATCAGATATTAGTGAAAATTTTGTGTGTGGAACCAAAAGGATCTATAATTAGGGAATGTAACTGCACCAAAACTAACTACTAATACGGTTCTTTTATGCTTTAGTTCACTTCAGTGCTTTTTGTTTCAGGTGTTTTAAAGTGTTGGTTGTTTGAATGCATAAAATAAGAATCCAACTTGAGAAGTGTTTGATTTTTAGTTCTAAGATTCAAAATCAATTTAATTGATAATTGACTAAAATCGATTGACTTTCTCTAATCATATAATTTTGTAAAAATAATGCCCACTCCTAAGTCTTAATTATATTAATTTAGAGCAATGATAACGAAGCTTTACTCAAATATTTGGAATACTTTTGTGTCTTTTATAGTTGTTTGATTAAATTTACTAGTTAGAATTCCACTTTTTATGTTCACTTCGCCGTTGAGATTTCTTAGGTTAAGAGTTAATGATTTAATTCATTATTTTCTCTCTCCACCATGACTTTATTATTGCAGCCATTTGGCAATGTAACCACTTGCAATAGTGACAACAACAGATGATGATGAAGAAGCAGAAGAAGAAGAAGAAGAAGAAGAAAATTATACTGTTAAGTGTCGAGATAAGAATCACAAATATGGGCAATAAATGTATTTTATAATTAATTTTATTACATTTTATATGCAGTCTCAATATCTGAAAGAGATAGAGAATGAGAAGAAAAAAGGATTAGAATACAATGTCTTGATGTTGAGAAATAGGCAATTATATCGAAAAGATGAAATTTAATTTTATATAAATAAAAAATGGAAAAAAACTCGAGCTAATTGAAAAATTAAGAACTCTTCCCATCATGTCTTAATTTTTATTTTTTGTATACATTGAATTATTTTTTCTAACTACAAAATAAATTGACATAGGTCACTAGTTAGACACCCACTACACCAAAAACAGTTTTTTGCAACGATAAAAAAATGTTGTCAAAAACCTTTTGCAATGTCCAGGCGTATGTTGCGAGCTTCGACGTTGCTATAGAATAGAAGGATACAACAACGTTCAATGAACGTTGCACAAAGTTTTTTACAGCATTCATTACACATTGTCGTTAAAGTGTTACCAACATTCATTGCGTGTTGTCATTGATGTTTTCGCAATGTTCAATACCTGTTGCCATTGATGTATTTAGCAATGATCATTGCCTGTTGTCGTTAATTTTTTCTCAACACTCGTTGCCCATTGCCATTTCCTACTATTTATATGAAAAAAATTTATTTCATATATTACTATATTTATATTTGTAATTTTATATAAAAATCATATTAATATATTTTTAAAATATTTACAAAGCACTAATCAAAGCGATATCAGTGAGAACTCTATATGTTAGTTCCCCTGAGGGGGGGGGGGGGGGGGGGGAATGGGGGG